GGAACATAGTTTATTCATTTACAACAATTTAAGAATAATTTATGAAATAGGAGAATGTCAGATGGGTGCGCAAGATACGGTTTTTATCTCTAGATTCACTCCTAACATTTAAATACTTAAGAGCTACCTAACTGTCTAAGGTATCTAATTTTTTTATTTATCGTATTCATTTATATTGATTTTTTTATCATTCTTTATTATACTATTTCCAATATTTTGTAAACGTTACTTTTTTACTTTCTTTTTAACTAATGATTGTAAAGCATTGAGACTCTGTGTAATGCAAAATATATTAGTTATTATCACTATTAATTCTGCCTTCAAATGTCTCTGATTTATTTCCTTCAGCGCATTACGATGGGGGATACCCAACACACCAAGGACAGAGATTTAGGCAATGGCGTCTACCACCGCAATTCTYATCCAACATCACCTAATATCATCCGRGCAGAGAATTCCAAACCAACGAAAAGTAAAAATCTCTCTTGGTCTGACGATGCTTTAGTACACTTGAACAATCACGAGCAAAACGGAATKCYTCCTACAGACATCACTCCTCTCAACGGAACAGCAAATAAGGGATTTACCAGCTCACATATGCCCTCATGCTTTCTTGAAATTCCTGTTGGTACCTTACACAAAGGAACTTGTTCAAATTACCAYACCAGACATAGTTACCCACATAATTTTTACCTTCGAAGGCATAGTGACTTTATAGAACTTATGAAAACTCGRCGACTCGAATCTTTAAGACAAAAAGCAGAGATAAAACAAAGAACTGAAATGTCTAACGCTCTTATTGAACAGTTCAGATCTAGAGACAAACCATTTAGGAGTACGTTGGATTATTATAGCGTGGTTCTGACTTTTGTCATTGGATTGGGGAACGTGCTTCGATTCTCCCACCTCTGCCACCAAAATGGAGGAGGTAAGTTATGAAGATAAATGTAGAAAGATTTTCATTGGAGTCATGCTCATTTCCAGTTTATTGTCCTTACTGAAAGCATTCTTAATATCCAAGAAACGATTTGTATAGCTAGGAAATCAAAAAAGTAGCACAACCTCTCGTACAATTTGGAAAAGTCACGAGTAATGTTTTGAAAGTTCTTAAATTGCACTACGGAAAAAAATGATGACAATGATGGGCGGAGCTGGGTGATCAAACATTTCACGTTTGAACAGCAACCGGTTTCGGCATAGTAGTCGCTTTGTTGACTGCATAAAAATTCTCTTAAGAGCCACCTTTAGTTATAGCCATTGCCATCATTATAAATACATTTATAATATAATTATCTATGAAATATCTATATTTCTCCATTTCGTAAAGTTGATATTTTCACTAGTGAAAATAACACATTCGAAGTTTCTCTATATATTGGAAGTAAGAAAAAAGCTGTTTTACGACATAATTTCGGTTTTCACATGTAATTATATGATAAACAGAATATTACATGGTTGCTTGGAGATACGAATCTTATCTTCTCGTGTTGAAAATCTTTGAATCTTTTGAACACTCGAAGATAAATTCCGTACCTCCGCGCGCCCATGTAATATCCTCTTTCTACTCATTTCAGGTGCATTTTTTATCCCGTATTTCGTAATGCTCTTCGTTGAGGGTATTCCACTRTGTTGCCTCGAAATGGCTGTTGGTCAAAGATATGGAAAATCGTCTTTGTTTAAAGCTTGGAGTAGTCTAGATCCATGCCTCGTCGGACTCGGGCTTTCTGCATTCGCGATTATCCTTATATGTCTGTCTTACTACAATGTCATGGTMTCGTGGTGTTTATATTTTGCGGTGCAATCACTAAGGGATTCGATTCTATGGGAACCTTGTGTTAAAAAGAGCAATCGGACATTTGGAGTCCAGGACGTCAATCAAGAATGCGTCACGTCTGGATCGGAAAAGTATTTTTGGTATAGAGAGTCGTTAAACGTTGCAGATAATATAAATGAATTTTCAGGTAATGTGGAATGTAACTTGTATATGAGTTGGCCCTTCCTTGACAACAAATA